AATTTCCCAAAGGAAAGGGTGCTTATCTGTCCCTGTGCACAGCCTGTGCCCCTGGGCCTCTCACCTTTTCTCCATCATGAGAGGCCCCCACTTCCAACTCTCTCTGGAAGTGCTCTAAACGTTCCCTTTGTGCTTAAATAAAATGTCTCTGTTACACTGAAACGGGTGTGGGTTACTTTTACTCTATTCACGCTGCCTATGCTGCTGCAGTTTTATCTTCTGTTTCCACACATTTTTGCTTTGAATGACCGCCATGTCAGATGAACTATCACGCTCAGCCAAATACCTGAACCAGGTCAACTGGGTTTGGGGAACTGGGACCCCCGAGCCCCCATGAATATTATATTGTGTCCATGGGTAAACACACAGAGCCTGAGAAAGAAACAAGCTGAACAGAAGTCACCACTGGAAAAGAGGAGAGAGAACACAGAAGTGGCAGATCGTTCAACAGGACTTAGGATAGGGGTCATGTTATTTTATCACTGGAAGTTTTATTCGGCTATTTTTTGGATCTGAGGGGTTTTTAATAGCACCATATTCATTTCTTGTGTTTCTCATGTTTTTAATATTTCTTCTTTTCTATCCTTCCATAGTATTTCTATGATCTGTAGGTCTGGAATGTCTAATCCGATTGCTCCTGGGCTCTCAGTGTTAGAGGCTGCTTCATTGTTTTTTATATTTTTGCCTTGGGACATGTTGGGACATGTGTCAGTAGGGACTCCAATGCCAGGCTGGATAATACATACTTACACAGACATTTTTCAATTGCTTTTTTGTGGAAATACTACCTGCCCGGGGTCATTTTGTGTTATTTCTCAACTTTGAGGCTATACAAATACAGGTGGCCCATAAAGTTTATGTGCAATTTAAAATAGTTGTCTTGAAATGCAAGTAATGTAAATTTGTAATCCAAACCTCATTGGGAGCAGGCCCATATGTTTGAATGATCAGGGGAATCTTGCAAAGTTTGGGGTGATGTTTTGTTTGTTTATTAAATTTTTTAATGTTACTTTTAAATGAGAGAAAACAGTGAGAGTCTTTTGTTGTCAGTACAAAATAAAACTGAAAAAAACTGTCAAAGGGTCATCTTACACTGCCTGCTGGTTTTCTTTTCCCCTAGATCAAACCTTTCACTGTCTTTGCAGGACAGCAAGAAGCATCGCTTTCTAGAGATTTTCAGTTTCAACTCCCCTCCTTCCATGAATTTAAGGCCTCATTTTTGTATTTCTGTTTTTTTATTTTTTTAGAAACAGGACAGAGGTTTTTATTGACAGGTAGAAAGACCGATAAGCAAAAGAGGGAAACAAAAGTGGGGGAACAGATCCTCTGGCAGCAGAGGGGGATATAAGTGGGAGGCCACTGTTAGTAGATTTCTGTGCCTCTTAAAACTCAAGTGTCTAAGGAACAAACAGGAACCTGACACAACAGTAAGTCACAGGTCTGGGGTCCCGATCACCAGTTTTGGCCGGTGGAAACTGTCTTTCGTGTACTTAGCTATATATTTAAAAGAATGTTTTACTATATTTTAGGTATTTGTAGTTGTGGCAAGTGGGTTTGTAGATTCTCTAATTGACTATAACGCTGGAAATAATGTTTTAATATTTTAAAACCTGAACTCATCTTTACTTACATAGTTAAAAATTAATAAAAACAGTAAATACTTATCAGAGAAACAAAAACAGTGATTGTCTAAATGTGTTTTACTGAAGATGTGGCTTTTGACCCAATTCTCAGAGACAGGCAAGATGTGAACACCAGATGGATGGGGGGGAAGAGAGGGGTCATGTGTCTGTGATTCGGCACCATCATCCCACTTTGCGGGAAGAGTCTTTATCAAATGTTAACCATGACGATATATTAAACCATGTTTCTTCCTGTGAAGAGGGGATGGGAAACATTTGCAGGGCTTTTTATGTGAAGAACAGTGGGGGTTGGCTGGCGAAGTGGCTCATACCTGTATTCCCAGCACTCTGGGAGGTCAAAGCAGGTGGATTGCCTAAGCTCAGAAGTTCATGACCAGCCTGAGCTACAGTGAGACCTCCTGTCTGAAAATAGCCAGGGAATGTGGTGAGTGCCTATTGTCCCAGCTACTCAGGAGGCTGAGGCCCGAGGATCACTTAAGCCCAAGAGTTTGAGGTTGCTGTGAGCTATAACACCACTACACTCAAACCCAGGGTAATAGAGTGTAACTCGGTCTCAAAAAAAAAAAAAAAAAAAGCACTGGGGCTAATTTTCAACTGCAGATAATTTTGTCCCTCACAGGACACTTGGCAATATCCCGTGATGTTTTTGGTTGTCACGACATAGGGGGTACTGCTCATATCTGATGGCTAAAGCTTAGGAATGCAGCTAAACAGCCTGCAACACCCAACAGACCCCACGACAAAGAACATCTGTCCCCAAGGTCAGTATTTCTACTACTGAGAAACCCTGGTGCACAGCAGAAGTCACCGGCAGCCCCTTGTGTAGCTACAATGGGTCCCTCTTCCCCTTTGCCTCTCTCTCACTCTCTGTCAATGTTATGCCTCTGGACATCAATAGTCTATACTTCAGATTTAATGAAAATCTTTCTAAAAACTATCACAAACATTTGCACCTCACTGGAACTATTTTAGAATCTCTGCAACCAAGTGTCTGAGCAGACAAAGACAGGGGACCCTTGCTTCTTTCCTTCTCCGCCTTCTCAATCACCTGCCCCTAGAATCGAGCCTCTTGACCACCTCACTAGAGGCAACATGGCTGTCTTTCCTCACCTTGACTGATCCTTCCAGACCTTACATTGTGCCTTAGTCTGACCTTCTGCACATCTAATGTTTGCTTATGCTGCATCCATGGATCACGAGGACTTTGCCTGGACAGCTGGTAAACCAGTATGGTAAATAAAATGTGCCACCGGGTTAACGTGGGAGACCTAATGCCAGTATTACCAGGCTGGTCTCTAAGGTTAAACTGTCACACACCATTTCAGACACTCAACACTCATACAAATAATGAATTCCCAAAACTACTGACATTGGAAAATTTAGTCTAGTGGTGTAAAAACAGCCCATTATCAAAGGATAGGTTTAAAAAACCTAGTGGTAGCAGAGAGAAAAAAAATACTTTTAATTTTAGTCAAATCAGTTATACGTCCACAAACTAAACAAATGCAATTTCTAAAACTAACCTTTTTAGAAATAAGGCAGTTAAAATAGCTCTACTTTTGTAATCAGCCTTCTTAAAATAGATATAATTGTTTTTAATGCTATTCAAAGAAAGGAGTAATTCAGTGTTAAGAAAGGCTCCAAAGCATAACAGTTAATGGCACAGACTGCCTGGGTTCAAAACCACAAGCTCCAACTCAGGACCTGTGATTATGGCCAGTTCACCGCATTTCTTTGCACCTCTCTTTCCTTGTCTGCAAATGACAAATACATTATTTGCAATAGTATTCACCTCAGAGCGTTGTCATATGGATGAAGTGGTGTTTAGAAATCTGCAGACAGTACATAGTCAACATCGCGAGTTTGTAAAACAAACAAGCCAGTACATGTGGGCAGCGTGATCAGGCTGTAGTCAGCCAATTACCAGAGTGTCCTGCGTTTTCATGTTTGCTCAGACTTACAGCAAGCTCAAGTCCAGGGGCCCAAGAGCAAGAGGAAAGCCTAACCAAAGTTTGCTCGAGCCAAGATAAAGGTTAAGGAATGGACATTTGTGAACAATCATTCTCTGTAGGACTATAGGAATACTAGTTTAATACTAGTTTATTCTTTTATTAGAATAAAAAAAAATAGCTAGCAGTCGAACCCTTTAGACAGGTTAAGTGACTAAACAGCCAACCTGGCATCAATGAAAATGTCTATTTCTCACTCTCACCTTGAGCACTGACCCTTTGTTTCTAGGCCCCAGCTGTACTGTGTAAGAGGTGCTCCACTGCCAACGCTGTCAGGTTACTTAAAGAATACGCAAACTTATGTTTCCCAAGAGTCTCTTTCTCTCTCTTTTTTTTTTCCTCCAGCTTAGATGCAAGAAACATTTCATCCCAGCAGAAGTAAACAGCTGGAACATGCAGGGAGTAAAAGAACCAGTAACAGCAAAGAAGCACAGAAGTGTTGCAACTATTTTTTACAAAGTAAAAATGAGCTCCATATATTGGGAAAGAGACATTTGGGAACAAACAAGTACTGCACAAAGTCATAAAAATGCCCCACCAAGAAGCCCAGTGCAGACATTCCACTGGCATCTGGTTGGGAAACGCACAGACTCTCACACACAATCACGCCTTCTACTCCTGAGAAACACATGGGAAGAAACAGTTCTTAAGACTCAAGGACAGTTAACAAGTGGACATACATTTTATAAGAAAAAAGTACTTATTGTTTAATAAACAAGTTCATAATATTTTAAATTCCAATTATATCATTTTACTATCGTTACTAAAATAGATTAATGACTCTTACGAATTAAAAAAAAAAAAAAACTGAGATTACTTTTGAAACACTGGAATCCAAAACCGTGAGAGAAAAAGCAGAGCTCAGTTTAACTTTGGGATTCTTCACTTGTTGTCCCCAACACGGTCATTGACTCATCTGAGACCATCTTCAATGTCTCAGGCTAAAGGTTTTCCAGCAGGATGCAGGATTTTGCCTCTTGACATAGAGTGATATTAACAGTAATCGATGTAATTACTATTGATAATAGTAAATAGAAATTGATAAAAACATCAGAGTATCGGCAAACCGAACTTAATCTTCTCTTATCTCAGATATTCCCCTTCTAAGAACCTCTTTTTAGCCGTACCACATCTGGAATGGCTTCCTCCCCCCTGCAGCCAGAGCACAATGTCCTGACCACATTAGATTCTCTTCAGACTAATTATAATTGTGCCATATACAATAGTTCACCAAACTATGAACAGGGATTAGCACTTCATGAAGCAAAAAGCAACAGGTTAGTTAAAAAAAAAAAAAAATTAAACATCTTATTTTGGCATTGTGATATTTACAATATGGTACATTTACCAGTCAGTGATATGTTATGAATCTCCAAGGAATGGTTAGAGTCTATTGCCATCATGTCGTCTTCTTGGACCGGTAGAGTTGTAAAAGGTGAATCTGTAAGAGAAAGAAGGTGAGATTATACATTCTTACCAAGGCCGAATAACTATCCAAAAACCTCTTTGCAACAGCTACAATGTTATTATACACCATGAAGGAAAAACAGTGTTTTCAGGAAGCTCTAAAGCTTATATGCTTCAAAGATATTCAGAAATAGATTGGGCAATTAAATGTGATGTTTCTGATTTTTTTTTTCCATAGTCTTCTTGTACCTGAAAGTCCTTACTGACTTGGCAATCTAAATTTTATTTTTAAGCTTTTTAAATAAGAGTCATTGTATTTAAGCTTTTTTAAAATAAAAACTTCCCGTTTTCTGATACTACAATTATAATTGCTTTACCAGACATAAATAAACTCCAGACACTGAGGAATCAGAGAGTGCAAGAAACGGGAAAGACAAGGACAGGCAGAAAAGACAGGAGAACAAAGAGGAACAGGCTCTCTGCAGCGGAGGGCGTAAAAAATCAAACTGAAAGCCCTGGACACGAGGGCACAGAGGATAAACCGGTCACTCGGTGAGTTCAGGCTATTGGTTTCCAGCCATGGTTCCAATGAGGCACATCCTCTAACTCCCGAGTTGCCTCTATCATTTCTCTCTCCTTTCAAAAACCTTATTAAAAAAAAAAAAAATTCCATTTCAACCCTCCTCCCTCTCCTCAAAGCTCTGTACACTACCCAGTGTTCCTCTGACTTTTGTACCCCAGAATTTACCTTCCAGGAGTAGGACCCCAACTCTGTCAAACAAGTGGACGAGGAGCTTGTATCATAAACTTGGCTGCATTCTTTCAATATTCCATTCACCATAAATTAAACCTGAGCCTTTTCTGTTGCTTTTTCTTGTTTTAATACTCTGTCTAGAAAGTTATTCCTGGTCTGAGATTAGATTAGCACTTCTTTCCTTTCTTATACACGTATGCAAAACATTATCAAAGTTGGCATTTCTTTTGTTGCTGTAGTTTTATACATTCTTTTCATAAAATTACCTAATAAAAAATGGACCTAGCAGAATCTAGCTCTCCAATAGGCTGTGTTCCAAAGGTCTAATCATCTCTAACACAGCTTTGGAAGTTGAAATTCATTTTCTCATAAAATAATCCTTTAATAATATACTTAAATCGCACTACCCTCTGACAGAGATTATCCGGGAAAATATGTCCTGAGTTTCTCACTGGGCTAGCTGGAAGGCAAAAGCTTTCCTCCACCCGCACCCCATATTCCTTCATTCATATTCATACACCCCTCCTCCCGCCTTTCCTCTTGCTTTCTCTCTGAAAGACACAAACACACACATAAACACCACTAAACAGGCTCTCATCAACATTATTTTTCTAATGAAAATGTCTTTTTTCACCCCCCATTCTTAGGGATAGCTCACTGGAGGTTTTATTCAAGAGGAAATATTTCAGAATGATCAAGGCAGATGCTATTCCTTTACAGATAGGAAGTCAGGAGGAGATGGACGGGAAGGAAAGAGTCCTTGGTACCTCCTGCTCAGGGAAGCTTGCAAAGCATAAGCTTTGAGAGCTGCGCTTCCTGGCCAGTTAGTGCTCGTTCCTTGGCCTAGTCCACGACGGAGCAGAATGCCATCCTGAGGGGTTCTGACCACACGTTTTATCTTTACACAAGCCCATAATTCTTTTGAGACTGTCCATCATGGTGTTTTATTATTAGTATGCACACTATTAGTAAGAGTGACATAAACTCAAAAAATGCTTTCTCTCATCCTTGTTCACATTTCACTTAAGTGAACAGATGGAGCACCGGATACAACTCGACTCTGATGGTGAGGAAGAGGCTGAGTAAAGTCAGGCTCCAAAGGGCTACGTGGATTGCAGTAGCGGGTGTTCAGGCTCATAACTGTGACCAAGAGTAATTAAAATTTGAGAGTAACAACCATCTATACCTCGTACGGACTAAACGAGCCTGTATATTCTACACAAGTTGGCATCTGAGCTGCAGTGTGGAGCCTACCTTGGAGGTGGAAGGAAGGTAAAGAAAATGCCACCGAGATGAGCTCTGATGCTGGCGCTGTGTTCCCCTTACTGACCACCAGGACCAGCCCACCCGGGGCCTGCATTAGAACAAGAAGACAGTGGGGTTCTAAGCTTGGCTTGGGTGGAAATCTAAGCTCTCCAGTAGTTGAAAGAATAGGAATGGAAGGAGCAACCAAGCTTCAGGAGGGAGAGAAGTCTGGGCAGTCCCAGGATATGCCAGTTGTTGAGGCCGTTTCCAACTGCCAGTCACATATCAAAGATACAATCACCACCTGTATGCCAAATTCATATTCCCTTTAAAGTATCTCAATCAGGCTCCAGTTTTCACTGAACAATCCTGAACGCAGAAGAACATGTATAACGGTGGCGATTTTTTGCCTTGGGAGAAGTCCCTGGAAGACAGAATATATACCAATGCCCTGAGAGGAAAGGCAGGACAGACCACAAACGGTGTCGGAATAGTAAGAAGGAGAAGTTCTTTGTGTAGAAAAGATATTTTTTAACTAAAAAAGTGAACGTAAACCTTCTTGTTTTCAGTTGGAGGACGGCTGGCAGGTGGCTGATTCCACTAACATTGGAGTTTAAAAAAACTGGCAGGAGATTGGGGCCGATGTGGCCTGAATACTTCCCTTAAGAGATCAGACTGAGTCACAAAACCAAGTATAAAATGGAGAGATAGGAATTCTGAGTCCTAATCCAAGTTCTGTCACTGATTTGTTACTTACGGTTTCGAAATATGCACCCAGCTCAGTCTTTGACAATACGTCTCTACTGAGAACCTCATTTCATAGGGAGAAAAAAGAAGGATCAGAGAAGGTGCAGAAATGCACGTAATAGTGCCTAGATTATAACATGCATTCCTCCAGTCATCATACTCACCCCTTGCTAAATCATTGCTGGAAATGTTCTACCTGGCTTCCTTTAGTGGCAAAAATGCTAGCATAAAAGAGTAATGTCAAACAGTTACTCTGAAGATTAAAAGAAGTTTGTTTTTTTGTTCCTTTTGCGGAGGAGATGAGGCATAAGACTTTTGCATCAAAGAACTGAGTAACATTCTAATTTTCACTTATTACTGTTTCATGTGAAATAGCAGAATGGCCCCTGCTTAGATGTTTTCCACATATTACATTTTAAAATAGGCATTGCTGGAACAGCCTACAATTTATGCTCTTAACACTTTCAAATGAAATAATCATGTTATAATTCTACTCAAAATATTACAGTAACTTTTCACATATTTCATTTGGGGGCTTCATTTAATTGAAATAAATTGGGAAGGAAAAAAGAGGTAACACTAGAAAGCTACATTGGATTTTAGGATTTGCTTTAATGAAAGCAGGAAATAAATTCAATTACATCTCCAATTAAGAATAAACATTCTCTCTAAATCCCCCCAAATCTCTTTGTTATAGTTTAAAATTATGGAAAGGCCTAGACTTCATTAAGGAAAAAGTATAAGAAGCAAGCATTATTAAAATAAATATAATTCTTTCTCTTTACGTATCTTATCTATGTATTGATTGCTATCAACATCTGCAACTAAAATTATTTTAATAAAATTTAATCTTTAAAAATCTTAATTTTAGGGCAGCACCCGTAGCTCAGTGGGTGGGGTGCCAGCCACATACACCTAGGCTGGCGGGTTCGAACCTGGCCCAGGCCAGCTAAAACAACAATGACAACTGCAAGAAAAAATAGCCAAGCATTGTGGTGGGCACCTGTAGTCCCAGCTACTTGGGACGATGAGGCAAGAGAACCGGTTGAGCCCAAGAGTTTGAGGTTGCTGTAAGCTGTGACACCACAGCACTCTACCCAGGGATTACAACTTGAGGCTCTGTCTCAAAAAAAAAAAAAAAATCTTAATTTTAAAGTTCTGATATATAGCATTATTTATGTGCTTCACAATTACAGAAACGCTACAATTTAGGAATGAATCATATATACTATTTATAAAATGAAGATTTGGAAATCAGAATGTATTTCCTCATGAGAGCAATATTATATATAAGCATGAGCTGTCACACCAAATCGTAAAAGCCATTTGTGCCATGATATGGCTAAGCTGTGGCTTTAGAAAACCTAGTTACCAAGTAAAATATTGCCTATAAACAGTGCATTTAGAGTTCTATTTCTGGGTTCTACGACTATGCCATGCCCATCCCCATCCTTAACTGCAATCGGAGAAAGAAAAGAGAAGAACTATGGCTACTCTGAGTCCTGAAAATCATCCTTCGGAGAAAGTGCATGAAGAAAAGAAGAAAGAAAAAAAAAGATTTGTCAAGAAAATTCAAGTCATTCTGAAGAGGCCATTTGTAAGTCAGACTTTCTAAGTCAGGAACAGATAACAGTATACAGAAAACTCTAGATGTTTGATACAATATGGGAACTATTGGATGAGAAGGTCATTTATAGACAAAAAAAGTCCTTAAAAAAGTCTAAGGACAAGCATGGTACGCACTTTTACTTGCCTTATAAAGCTACATGTACAACCTAATCATGGAATAGAAATAGATTGTTCTTTCATTATAACACATTTTATAATAAAATACATATCCAAGTTCAGTGTGGAAATTCTGTTTCAAATCACCTCTACATAGTTCATTAGGAGCCTTTAACAGTAAGTCTTATGCCAAATACAACTCTAAATAAAAAGTAAAAACCCAAAAGGGTAGCTAAGATATTTACTCCTTCTAAAAACAGATATTTTAAATATTTCACTTGCTAGGTTAGCCTTTGATAAGACTTGGATTCTGTTCAGTGGTTCTCCACTGGGGATGATTTTGCCCCACAGGCAACATTTGGCAAACGTTTGAAGGCATTTCATTTGTCCCAACTGAGGGAAGATTACTACATTTATTTAGTATGTTGTATTCATTTCCATAACAAATTATCTTAAATTAGGTGTCATAAAAAAACTACTACAAATTTGGTGGTAAAAACAACAGTAGTTTATTCTTTCACATTCCTGAAGGCTGGGAGTCTGAAGGCAAAGCCATACTCCCT